TTAGTTGTGTTTCATTAAACTTTAGTACGAGTATCTGGATGACCGAGTTTTATTAAGTATTTTTTAACGTTTTAGATCGATTTACCGCTTTCGAAAACCGATGTATTCAAAATTTTGTGTTTAAAATCGATCTGGAATACTTGAATATATGTAAGTACATACAAGTGGCTAGTTTAATATAGTGGATATTTATGTAAAGATATAAGATTTAATTTGAGAATACGATAGAGGCTACAGTTCGTTACGATGCATACGAAAAATGCAAGCTTACGCCGAGACGTATGTAGGTACAAAATTTAGATATTATAAAGACGAATTTAATAGCAGAATGCTGTCAAATACAATGTTAGTTACTTCTAAGGAGGAAAGGTAAATTGTACGGTGCGTACGTAACAGCCTTTGTATCTGTCTCAGTTACCCATTTATCATAAACAGATACCGCCCGGGTGCGGCCCCGATTTGTTTCAATTCGATTTCTATAATTGCTTTCTGCCCTTGTAACAAACGGTCCATATAATTTTGTAAAGCTACAGATTAAATAAGTAGGTCGCTACGTAACCACTCTATTTTTCAAATCGCCTTTGTAAAAGAACGAGCCTTTGAATTTATAATAAAATAATTATTATTCCACAATTTTATTGCGAGTTGGTATTGTATTGTATAATAGCTACTCTCGCGCGGTTGTACCCGCTGTTCGGCTGCGTGCGGCTCCATTAAATAATAGCGTGATGTTTTATTGCCTACAGCACTCAGGAACTTACACAGTACTTACTTACAGTAGCTATCTATTAGTGAAAGAATTTTGGCAATCCGACCAGTGGTACGAAAGATTACCCTCTACATACAAACTTACTTTTACCTCTTTATAATATTAGTAATTATAGACATAGATTTCTACTTTGTTGGAAAAGTTACATTGTAGTCTTGCGGTCGAGAATATTCTCCCAGGTACCTATCGATTTTTAATTCCTACTAGTTTTAAAATTAAGGAAAAGCTTTCAAATCTTATTTACAAAAAAAAAAAAATATATAAAACGCCAGAGTGAGTACCTTTGATTGTCAAAAAAAAACCTACAGTCTACATGACTAGAGAAAAGTAAAAAGTTACTACATAGTACAAAACAAAGTCGTTTTCTTAATCCGTATATCCTATGTGTGCTTTATTTGTATCCGTATATGCGTCTATGTAGATATGCTTAAATCTTTACAACTAGGTACGCAACGGACTTGGATGCCGTTTTTTCATAGATAGAGTGATTAAAGAGGAAGGTTCATATGTATACTTAGTACTTAACATCCATTAAACAGTGGAGAAATATTGTACCTATCATCATTACTCCCAGGTGAAGCCGTGGCGGGTCACTAGTATAATAAGTTCATATACATAACGTATTAAAATATTAATAAGCATTTCATTAAAAATATTTTTGTTAGTCCTATTGTTCTCCAAAGTTATTTTGCTAATAAAGTTATAGGACAATGGCAGTTTCTCTAATAAATTAATGGCATTATTTTCTTGCATAGCTATTAATAAAATATATATGAAAATATAGATTATTAATTTCTGATCACTTTTGTTATAAGAATAAACTTAGATAAAATAAGTTCAGTAAAACAGATATCCACGTACAATTATTGAGTAAAGGCTTTTTAATTATAATACAAATTCAAAGGAATTAAAAAAAACTAAATTATTGCATACCGATTGATACCGAAAGTTTTCATGTGACATGAAAAGTTAAGTACCTACCGTCATTATCATCATCCTTCTAAAAAGCTTCTTCTCACACGTAAGTTAGATCAAAACCAATCGACGGAGGGCCTCGCGTCCGAAGTCGTTTATTTTGATGAATCTGGATACCTACACTAAGATAGCCCACGAGAATTGCAAAAGGAATAAGTAATTATTTAATAAACATCGGTATCTATTAATAATATTTGTATACGCTTAAAACTTGTATAAAAAAATATTTCGCCATTGTTCTTTCACCTCTATGTCGGCCACTAGAACAAAATAAAGTGGTACCTTTGAATCATTACACTCGGCGTAGTATTTCACATTCTAAAATCCAACACAAAGGCCGGCTTCCAAACGCGTTGTTTCAAACGATTTTTCAATTTCAATCATTCGCCTCCGTGAGACGAAGCCGAAGTGGGAACTTATGACACATTTATCTACTGTCTCTTCTATTCAGTACGTTTTAATATATATTTTTTTATCTTGAATAAGTAACAGAGACAATTTGAAATTGCTTATTACAGTTTATTTGGTCTTATTTTTTTGTTTCACTGACACAATTGTCAATATTGTAATAAAAAAATACTTCTAAATCTTTAATTAGCCTGCAAGTGCTCACTGCTGAGCAATTCCTTCATCAGCCTGTAAGTGCCCACTGCTTTGCAAAGGCCTCTTCTCGCACGGAGAAGGTTTGAGCAATAATCGTTTGCTCAAGCCGGACTAATAAGAAATTATTAGTGCAGGTTTCCTCACTATCTTGTCCTTCACCGTTTGTCAATGGTGCCTAAATAATTTTAGAAAGAACATATAGGTACCTAAGTCGGAAAAGGTCGCATTGGTACTTGCCAAGTTTCGAACCTTTATGTACCAGAACCGTGGTTCCGGGCTACCACAACTACTCTGAATCTTAAGATTCATATACATATAATCAGTTAACACAATTGACTAATCTTTGTATATAAAACGGATAATGATTGTAAACTTAAATAAATTGCCTTGTTCAATATTTATGTAGTCTGTTGTCGCAGAGACTACAACGCAAAGCTACAGATAAATGTTATTACAGCGTCCTGGCTTAGTAGCATGATACTATTGAGACAATAAGTATTCAATGTGGTTGTAGACAAAATTCAGTTTTCTGAGGTAAAACTGGTCAAGTACAAATATACTAATCCATAATGTTCAAATTTACACAATCTAATTACTTACCTCAAGTAAATGAACCCATCACGCAAATGTCAAACTCAATTGTTTGAATGAATAAATCAAAAAGTTTTAAAAACAGAAGCAAAGAAAGAAAGTGACTTTTAGCAATAAGTTAATCTACACGTGACAGTAAACCGCATGAAAAAAACATGGAATCCCAACCGACGTTATTTTTAATTACCACCAAGTTTCCGTAAGTTGGTCAGTTAATAAGAGAACAACAATTCACTTCATAAATCTCATGCACACACCATAAAAGTCGATTAAACTCGACATTTCCACGTAACCGAATAATCCTTTAACGTTTTATTGCACAGATTTTCGGAGGAACTTGTTATTGCGATTACAAAGAGGAATTCGGATATGGAAACGGAATAATTAATATAAAATTGTTATTCACCGGTTGGTATGGAAACAATTGCATTGTGCGAATATATTCCGGTGTGCTGCCGCTTGTGTTCCCCGCTGCTAGCGTAGCCGCACCGCGGCCGTGCGGTGCATTTCACCGAAGTGAGCGAGTTTATGGATTGCATTCACTCGCCGTAACTGAGGCCAAACTGCGATTGTTCAAACGCTGTTCACTTTAATTTTCCTAACGAATTGTTTAGTCTGTGTCTCATTTCAAGTTCATGCTACTCGCGCTTAAAAGTTTTCCTGTTTCGGTTTTGGGTATTGCTACCTTTGTTACATATACCGCTACGCATATACATTTCCTATGTGTATTTAACCTCAGTTTCCACATAATTACAAAGTTGAGATGATTTAATATAATTACAAAATTTTCAACCGAGCGGTCCTTTTCACTTAATAAATTGCTTTCGTTTCTGGAAATACATTTAAATTACAGTAAATGGGAACTTCTGTACGTAAACATTTTGTATACAAGGTTTTATACATTTTACATGCAATCGGGTACTTTGGAAATGTCGAGAGGTCTATTGAAAGAGTAATTGATACTTAAGAACGCTGCGGCGCGCGGCGGGGTACCTCCTCTCAACTGATACAAGTTGGTTATTTTATAAGTAGGTATCTACCGACTCTGTGCTGACTCTGTGTAGGACACGCTCTATTGGCTGCTACTGGGCAATTGGGGCAAAAAAAACCTTACATAGGTATGTACTTGCTTTACAAAGTTGTCCACCTGGGAATAGTCTGAGACCCAAATTGTAGGACGAACGAGTACAAACATATCTACACAAAATAAATAAATCCTTTAGACAAAAAAATAAATACACAAATACATACTTTTATTTTTTTATTCTAATTAAGTAGTGTACGATCCAAAATGTGTTCTCATCGGCAACATCATCGCCTTTACCTGTAATGTAAAAACATTTATTAAATATAACTGTACAATGAAATACATATCTAGTGGATAAGAAACTAGTAAAAATAATAATAAGAAAACGTTAAGAAAAATACGTGCGTAATGTTTCCATATAACTGAAGTTAAATATTCTTTTTGTCATTTTCAGGCATTGAACTCATGTCTTACAGACTAGAAGTGAGACGGTCAGTTGTATACATCTCAGCTAACCGTGGCGGCGCTTTCTCTTTCAATGTTGACAAGCATCTGTAAACACGCGGCACAGGCGTGCGACTCACAGTATTTATTTACTACGCACGATACACGAGCACGGCCTATTGTTGGCTAGCTCAGGCTACTCTGACAGGGCTTACACTGTCGTTAACTAGAAGTGATTAGAAAACTAGAAATTCTCACATGTCATTAAGTAATAAAACATACTTAAGCAATGTGTTATTTCTAAAGTATGAACAAAAAAAAAAGAAAAAAAATTTTGTTAGTCATTTTTATTTATGAGCCCAATTAATGAGCGCGCGCGGTGCTCAATGTTTATAGCATGGCAAGTGGGAAATCGTCTCGGTGGTGTGTGTCGATGGTCGGCGTAACGCTGGCGGGCCCCAACGAGGCGGCGGGCGGCGACGATCGATAGGGCGGGCGCGGCGCTGCAGTCGGCATACACCGCCGCCTGACGCCTGCCGTCCTAGCCTTCCGACACTTTAGCGACCGCTCGCGTCGCGATAACTCGCGACGATGCGCGGCGACCGCGCCGCGCGCGACACGCGCCACAATAAAGATCACGAAAACTTAAAATCATCACTGAAAAAGGGCACCAAATCTAAAAAGCACCGAGTTATATTTGATGAGAGCGCTAACGAATTTTTTGAGGCCGATTACATTATCGTGGTGCGCGATGAGTGTGGATACTCCGATGAGGGTGAAGGCGAAGAATGCTCGGGTTGTGGCGCGTGCGAGCGGTACCAGGAGCCGGAGCCGGGCGCGCTCAGCCCACCAGAAGGCTACAAGGACATGGGCCTGTTCAACCGCGACGGCACCTTGCGCGAGCAAGCCTGGTGGGAGGCCGGCGACGTGCTGCTGGTGGGCGAGCGCTCGGGCACGGTGTTCACGCCGCAGCACCTGCAGCTGCTGCGGCGGCTCCAGCGCGAGCGGATGCTGCGCTCCACCATCTGTGCTGACTGTGACGCGCACGCCGCTCTGCACCAGCCTCTAGGTGAGTCACCCTGCCTTGTCCTTGCCAAGGACGAACAGCTCCGGTCGGCCTTGTTTCGCTGACATCTCAAGTTTCACGTCTTACGAGGCTAAGCGACGACACAATTCTTCATATTTACCGCGGTTGTACACGTTCTGCCATCATGACCGATAAACAAGGGAAACCTTACAACTGTCGACGTTTCCAGCGTTCAATAGTTGCTATTTTATCCTTTTATTTCTCATTATTTAGACGTGTACAATTGTATAAGTCAGTAATAAAAGAAAATAAATACAACGTATGTTTTCACTTGTAGTATAATTCTCTAAACTTGCGATTGCCTAAGTTGTTCTGCCGAGCGAAATGACATTGTCAATTTAGTGATTATGATGATAGAACCGCTATCATTTTAATTACATGTAGCAGTAGCGAACTGGGTACTTGTTATATAACAATGAAGCGCTTAAACTGAATTGACAACAATTTAGATCGTTATTAGAACAAGTGACGTAACTGGTGTCAGGTTTCAAAACAACCGGAGCCCTATTGTGCTCACGCAAAGCAAGAGCACTCATTGCTTCGCTTTTTTAAACGAGAGCGTTTTTACGGTCGAGCTAAGACGCTCAGAGGTAGGTACCTATCCACCAAAACTGTATTGATTACTCACAGAGTCACCGCTTGACAATCAGCCGACAATAAAAATATAAAATGTCGTTCAACTGCCAAAAACAGCTCGCGACAGCAGAAAACAATTTCATACTCTGTTAGGTCTGAGGTAGTTGGCCTGATAATACGCTTAATCAATAACTCCAACTTGCCATGAAATAAATTACACATATATTTTGCGTAATTCACAAAAGGTAGAAACGGGAATTGGTGATAAGATAATTACGTAAATTCGTTTGGTTTTCTTACAAGAAGGTTCTAAGATTAGCCATAATTAAAATAAAATTAGGTAAAAATTCCGAACGATGAATGTATCACGAAATTAAACTTCGATTACCGTGAAAGGATTGTTGTTGAAAGGATATTTACAAAAGTACTCAATATGTAAATATTACACTAATACTACTAAGATATCTACTAGACAAGTCCCAACTCAAAAATCTTAGTTATTATTGGGGCATTTTGTAATTCTAACGATGTTTGTCACACGACGCTAAAGTACTTCATAGATTCATTTGTTACACTATCTTTTATTATTGTCCGAACGACTAAATAGTCTTGCTGAAGAAAAAACTACCTTCGTAGTTTGGTAAAAATAGAAATACTTGACGTTAATTTATTATGTTTTCAAGTCTTAGTATAATAAAGTACACAGTATGCTTTGCATAATTGTTATCAAATCTTTTATGTCCCTAAATATTACGTGTTTCAGGCTCACGCGTGAGCGTCCTCTAGTTCTTTATTCCAATACCTGCTTAGTGTGTTCAGCCAGTTTTTATGCACGCGTAGTCTCAAAGGACTGTGCTCATTATACCACACGTACTGCGGCTCATAACAAAAAAGTAATATGGGGTACGAACAAAAAAGAAAAGAAACACTTAGACGCACCTCAAACTGATTATTATTAATCATATTCCCATTTAGACACAGAAAATTTGATTACATTAAACAAGTAACAGCTGAGTCATATAAATATAAACTTCAAAACATCAACAAAGTATCAATATTTTTATTTGTTTGTAAAAGTACAACTGCTTGGTAAACTTGTTGGAATCGAAATGCGAAAATTCCTTTTTTGTAAACCTTACTTATGTTATCTACTCACTATATTACACCTATGAAAAAAAATCAGAAATCAAATAAAATAGAATCAATTCGAAATTCTAGACTCAGTAATTACTCATAATATTGGGAAAAAGATATTAAAAACTCAATACTTCTAAATCAATAAAGAGACAAGAAAATGAGCGTAAGCTTCTAATACGTTAGAGGAATAATGCCTAACAAACAAAACAGCTAACACCGTAAATACAATAAACCAGAAGATACGTTTAAAAAGCATCTGAGCCGTCGGCTCTATACAGGAGCACTTGACTAAATAATTGGTTCACAGTTCTGTACATAGTGTCGGCGACAAACGCTAGCTCTCCAGTAACATGTACAAGCAATCAGTTGCTATTACCTTTGATTGGTTGCACTGCCACCGGTCACCACTATTAAGCAACAAAGTCTCAATTTATATTCACCAAGATGTTTGTAAATGTTTGTCGCAATTGTTTTATAAATATAACGGACACAATCACGGATGGTAATCGTACACCAAATATCTCACTCTTCATATTTGGAATAACTTTTGCATGTTAATAAAACTTCGGGTTAAACCACTCTTCATTCAAACAATTATCTTCATCGCTTTAATAAAACACAATGTACAGGAACACACACATTTCCAATTGTACCAAGCACTCGTGGTATTGGATTAGTGTAGATTTAATTAAGACTACGAACTAACTAACAGTTGAGGCTTTAGTATGACTAAAGTGACGTAATTGATTTCAATAAATCAAAACTAATTAGTAGACCTCTAATAAACCTAGTAATGCATTCCGATCATCCGGACGTTTGATTTTGAACACACCACAAGCGGTTGAATATACCTCAAATCAGGCCGAGTTCAATATGAAAGTTATAATTAAAATTTAACTACGATGTTAACATAAATTTGAACGTTGGCAAAAATAATATTTGATTAATACGCTTGGTTATTACAGAAATATAACTAGCGCGGGTAATATTATGGACACAGTGATGACAAATATTTTATAGGAATCTCGACACGGAATAACTAAATAAGGGAAATCAAGTCATTATGTCCTTAATGGAAAGTAATGTAATTTGAGTAGACTTTTCTAAGATAGCGTAGCGTGTAGTACACTCCCACTTATTACCTACAAACTAGCCATTATTACACATTAGTTACATGTACTCCAGAATGCGAGTGTGTGGGCACATCACTACGAGTCCTACCGTACAAATACAAAAATACTTTTTTCTTTCTCGATCGCGAAATCAATCTATCAAATATCTATCCGAATTCGGACTATTTGAAAACGAGATTGGTAATTGGTTTTAGGAAAAACCATGACGCAGTAACCGGGAGGTATCAGCTGTTCCGAAACGGAATATCCATACGGAACAAATATTTGCACGTTCGACAGGTAGTTGTTCCGGTCCAGGGATGCAAGCTATACAGATTAGATTTTATAACACACTAACACCATTCGTGTAAAAACCTAGTGCACTCCATCCGAACACAATTTTGAGGACGTTGAAAAATAAGATTAACCTGGCGTCCTTTATTGCTTAGCTCTTAATTTCAACCTTTATGATAGTCCAGTCATGCACTGGAATGCATATACGTTCCTAAGGCGCAAAAAGCATTCTTTCCAAGGCATTAAATGCCGCAAGTATCTCAATCGTTTAACTCAACGAGCGACTTCATTACGATAAAACCACTGGAAATGGAAAAGCCGAGGGTTACCATTAATTTTCTTCTGAATCAAAATTAGAACTACACAAATAAATATAAAAGTTTTAACGTGGTCATACGTTATATATTATGAATTAATGTAATCAAGCGAAGAAATCCTGCAATTTAGTTTGTAGTTGCATAATTACTTAGCAAAGTTCTTCTCACTGAGTTCTATTGCTAAGTAATCATAAGAGATAATAGTTTAGATATGTCCTAAGTTCACATTAACTTTTTATTATACCCGAATAATAAATACAATTGGGAGAAAATACCAGTACTCTGAAATAAAAGCACAGCTATACGACTGTGTAAATGACCTTAGGAAAACACAATATTAATTTTACGGAGTAATACATCAACCGAAGAACATTATGTATGTAAGTAGGACACTGCACTAGTTTTGACCAGGCCGAGTTCAAACAATTCCTGTAACGAACATTTAATTAATATGTTTTCACAGAACGAGGTCTTGTTAGCAGAACAAATATGTTAGTGTACTTAATAAAACGACAAGTTTACAACTATTAATATATAATAAAACTCATTTCAGTTATGTATTTCCTAGAAAATCAAATGAACTTTAATAAAAAAGAAAACAAAAATATAAAATGAATTTTCTTTTCAATGGTCAGGAAATCAAACTTTTATAATTCTATAGCTTTATTCTTACAGAGAAATAAAATAAAGCGTTTTTTACTTTAAATTAAGTAAACAGTTCACATTGATTAAATACTCTACACAGCAACTTATAGCAACAGCACTATTTGTTATGACAATGAATTTCTTAAAATATTGTAACAAAGGTCTTTCTTAAACCAATGACATGTTTTACTCGAATTTATGCGAATTGAAATTGATTCGAGAAGCGAGAACGAAGAAGCTTATAAATAGAGATAAATTAAAAAAAGAGTAAATAATCAACGAACACCATTCAATACCTACCCAATATAAAGGATTTTTAATTGTCATAAAATACTATTTTCATTTATTTATTTTATTAGGATCTAGGAGAATATAAAAAAAAAATTGAATAGTTTTGTGCTCCTCCAATTATAGGAGAACACATCATGTAACATTGTAATATTATTGATTATTAAAAATAAAATTGAAAATAAAATTAAAATTAAATTATCATTAAAACAGAATAAGATTCAAATCAAATTGAACATAACGCACAATAAAATTAACACATAAACATTTTAACATTTTGAACATTTTGAGACCGTTTTTATATGAGACCAAAAATACGCAAACAAGAAACCATAAAAACGAAACTATATAGTTTGTTAATAGAGTACTACTACCATATCCATTCGATTGTGCCACTCAGACAGCCAGAGTTTAATGACGTTTTATTACGTTCAGAATTTAAAATTGGAAATTCATATCGAGTGGCCAATCGCTAAAAACAAAACGATTTGTAAACTAGACGACAATTTTGATTGGATTTGGCTTATTCCATTTTTAGCCAATGAACCTGGCTGGTAGTTGTTCGAACACTTTTATTGGTAAAAGTTTGAAGGTTCTTTTTTCTGCAACACTGAAGAGTCGTTTTAACCTTCTTACTGCGTTTGAAGTCAATTAAACAATTCTCATAGACTTTTC